AAAGAAGTTAATACAATGTGATATCGAAGTCACCGAGAGACATAACGTTATATACGGTGAGTACTATATGCTGTTAGTTTTCTCGGTGTAAAAGTTCCCTTTATCGCCTACGTTACGTATTCGCGCCTTATATCTTACGTTACGTTAACGTTACTGCTTTATTAATAAGTGTTGCCACGGCGGAATATAATCGCAACCCAGATAGCAAAATACACTCGGGCCAGTTGCGGCGGCAGAAGCGAGCCGACGCTGCCGTATCCGTGCACCGGAATCGGGCCGTGACCCTTGAGTAATGTGCGGTGTGGCCCGGAGCTCGCGCGACTAAAGTCTTCTTATACCTTGATATAAAACCTTTTGTTATTAATACTGGAAATTTGTAATTATCGATAATGTTTTATATTTTGAGGCCATTTTTCTAGCCACGATTGACCGCTGAAATGTAATTTTAGACGGTTATATAAGTTATACCGCCATTTTGTGAAGAAAATCACAATTTTGTCACCGACAAAGCGACTGATTATGTAAACGTGGCTAGTTACAAACGTGGCGTACATATCTTCGTTTCAGTGTCTAAGTTACATTAATGTTGAGGAGTGTCCACAAACTCTCATGTTCAGATTTGTTGGTGCTTTACTATCGTTTAACGTTATACTTATGTTAATGTAGAATTATTAACATACCATGTTGTATAAATCGACGTTTTAAGTTATACTTTGTTCTTTAATGTAATAATTTGTCTCATCTGTTCTGAAACTGGTACCTTGAGCTATTTTACCTATTTTATTAATATCTCAAAATAAGAAAATAGTTATTGCTTTATCTTATTGCTTTCCAGAAGTTTTTGAAGTTTCCAATTGTCTTTCAGGACAAGATTGAACAACAGAATGCAGGCTAACAGCATCAGAGCAATGAAGGCATGTCATATGAAAGCATGGCTCAGTTACAAGATGTAAGTATGTCTCATTATCTATACCATGGTTTTAATGGCTTACATACTATTTTAAATTTGTAGGTTTTTACTTACAAACAACAATAAATGTACACCCACATGTTTAAAATTATTTTCTAGGTTTTCATCGAAAGATAAGAGATCAACTGAAGAATGCTATGGTACTGACTCTAAGGTACTCTTTCTAAACTTTCTCCACTTGATTAATATTATTAAATTCTAGCTTTGGATGGATTCATTCATATTTGTTTGTATGCCACATCTTATGTTCCAGGAATTGATTTTACAGCAGCACTTCTCATGTTGCCAGCCTTGTTAAGCGAGACACTTCAACATTTCGTTGTGCTCAGGTGCGTATGTTGTTTTTTTGTTTAGTATATGCTGTGATAAATGCATTTTATAATGCTTGATATTCTTTATATTAGGATGACGCAGTGGGTAGTGCTGTCACCTTACAGCAAGAAGGTCGCTGGTTCGAGCCTCGGCTGGGTCAGTTGGCATTTGTGTGAGGAGTTTGCATTTTCTTCCAGTGTTCGTGAAGGTTTCCTCCAAGTGCTCCGGTTTCCCCACAAGTACAAAGACATGCGCTATAGCTGAATTTGGTAAGCTTATTTGTCTGTAGTGTATAAATGTGTGTGTGAATAAGTGTGTCTGGATGTTTCGTAATACTGGGTTGCAGCTAGAAGGGCATCTGCTGCATAAAACATATGCTGGATAAGTTGGTGGTTCATTCCACTGTGGCAACCTTAGATTAATAAAGGGACTAAGCCGAAAAGAAATTGAATAAATAAATTAAATTTATATTAGTCGTTTAATCTGTGATACTTTTTTTTCTTAAATCATTGAATATTAATTATTTTACTTTCTATGCATGTTGATTTTCTCTTCATCAGTGATAGAGTGACTGATATTAATGTAATTATTGCTTTGTCATTTACAGTGAACCATCTTCACCACATCCAACAGTTCAAGTACAGGAGGAGGCCACCGACTGGACAACTGTGTTAACAAGACGAGTCACGGCAGTCTTCAGAGTTGATGGGATTGTGATTGGCCGGGCTAATGATGTGGACGAATATACATTTTTGACATATCCATCTTATTAGAAGAACACCTTGATGTTTCTGCAGTGGAATGTTTTGAATGAACGGTGGACAGTGACAAGCCTCGATCTACTCCAGTTACCAGAGGGATCAACCTTGTTTTTTGTTTCTCTACATGCTCTTGGGATAATCACAATCATCAAGTTAATCCAGCACACTGCTATCATTCATGCATAAAGCAAATTTTTTAAATAACTTGTGGTCCTAATGACTATCAAAGAACATTTTCCAGACATGAGTGCTTTACATGTCATGTTTATCAAAAGCATAAACACATATTGTGTTACAACAAATTACAACTCCACTTGAGGATGATGAGGAGTAATCTACTGATGTTGAGGAAGAGGCTACTGATGTATTTGGTTTTCTGCACTGTTTAAGCAATTTATAGAGAAACATTGCCTTCATTCTAAAATACAGAGAAAACGTTGATGACAAATTATTTATTATGACCGAGTATTCTGACTAAAGACAAATACTTTGGACTTTATAAAGTGCAGTACTTAATGTAGCCTGTGTAATGTGTTTATAAATCTTAAACAGTTTTCTTGTGGTCTTTGTATTAAGTGTAGATTATTTAGTTTTTATTCTTATCTAAATTGTTCTTTTTACTGTTTTACATGTCTGCTTTTATACTTGCTGTGTAATTTTATTTCTTAACACATTCAGTCGTGAGTTGTAATGAAATATTTCTACATTAATAAATAAAAATGGACATCTGTGAACCAAAATATTTTATTTATTTATTTGTGCATGCAGTCACCAAGGGATCAAAATGCCTGGGTCAGTACCCTGAAAATACTATATAATATAAAAAGGTACATTTTTGTACCTTCAGTGTCTAGGGTACAAAATTGTCCCTTAAAGGGTACAAATGTAGAAGGTACAATTTTGTACCTTTAAATAGAGGTACAAATTTGTACCCTTAAGGGTACCAACCCAGTGACGGGCCATTTGTACCCTAAAAGGTACAATTTTGTACCTTTTTTTCTGAGAGTGTAGTGCTGTCTTGAGTATTTTCAGGAAGTGTCACCAAAACTTTTTGCATTGGAAAAACCCTACAGAGTAAACCGTCATATTGAAAACAGGACAAAGCCATTTGACTATCTTGTTTATAAACAATGGTGTCAGGACTTTTCATCTTGATGACACTGACACTTCATTGACATGAATACTTGCTTTTGAGGAATAGGCTATCCATTTTGAGCAAGTGACACACTTTTGCAGGTTATCAACTAGGTTTTGCAGTTTGCACTAATTGTTCTGAGAAATGCATTAACTGTTTTGCAAATATAAATAGTGCTGTGAGAAATGCACCACAGCGACTGAGAAAAACTAATATAATCTGTATGACATTATGTATTGTAATGATGAAAAGAAGATTCATTATTTTTTCCCGTTTTATTGGTTTCGCATAATGTAAATAATCAATGTATTTCTGTCATTACATCTCTCTGGGAGATTCAGTAATAAATATGTATAAGGTAATGTTGATGTTTGGTCTTGGCAACATAGATGTGCTATGCTGCTTTAAGGATGAATGGATGGATGGATGGATGGATGGATGGATGGATTGATGGATGAATAAAAAGATAGAAATATGAATATATAGATGGAGAGAAAGATAGATATTTAGACCATTTTAAGGGATGTAAACAGAAACAATGGTCCCAACACATTTTTCTGTTTTACATTTTTAATTTCTATAGCTTTCAAGAATCAAAAAAGAGCCACATATTGATAAATAATCTTATGATAGCTGTTTTAACATCCGGTTATGATTAAATTGCCTTTTGTTACAGTTATGAAATCGTTTGATAACAAACAGGAAATGTTCATGGGCCAATGACATGACCACATTGAAATGGTATATAGATTGATTGATTTACTGATTGATTGATTGATTGATTGACTATTTCATGGCAGTTTTATGACAGAACCATGTATATATCATTTTAGTGTCTTAATTTTTTTCCATTTTTTTTGCCTTTAATAATTCTCTTAATAGTCCCATTGTGCTAAGGTGTTCTATATATTGAAGGTTAACATGGTGATTGTATTTTGTGCCGATTAAAAATATTCAATAGGCGTTTTGTAACATATTATATGACTTGTCCTTTATATTAAAATTAACATTTTAAAATAATCTGAGACCGAAGTAGGAAATACTGCCTGTGCTTTAGTCTTTTTAGATGTGGAGATAAAGCATTATAAGACCTCTATCTATGTCATTACAAAGAGCCCTGATTGAAATCACTCTGAAAATGTGCCAGCATTTATTTCCCTTTGAGCCTTTCATTACAAAACTGCTGCTAAAATGGCAAGGTAAGGCTTTACAGGCAAAGGAAAATCCAAGGTATATTGTAATCTCACCATGGCCTGTTTTGTTATTTAATCTGCCATAAGAATATAGTTTTATCTACCCAGTTCTGGATTTTACCTTCAAAGTGATCCATAAATAGACCTCCTTGACAAGTGCAGAGATTAACTATTAACTAGGTCTCTCATCATTTCTAATGTGAATGTAAATTTTTCAGAAATATGCTGCATACTTTATAACCATCTGATATTCTCATATAATGTGAATATAGAAAATCAGATAACCGTTCATTATGGAGAAATGAAATACAGTATGCTTTGCTTTTATTACTGAGGAATAGAAAATGTAAATGTCATAGTATATCAAATGTATGAAATGTGTTTGGAAATACAATTTCAGTTTCACGCTCCATCTTGTTCATAAAATTGCAAAATCTAAAGACAGAAATGACTTATAAATTTAAGAGTGGAAGTTCATAGGATATAACCAAAACATATCAAATTAAGTGTATCATAAAATCAGCAAGTCAAAAAATTGATATCAACAAAATGTCAACAAAACACTAGTCAACAAAGTGATAATGCAATAGATGAGACGAATTGAAAAGTGATTGAGAAAGAAAGTTTAC